TCAGCCGGCTGTCTGTCTGCCTGCTCTCTTGGAGCCCGGCGGCTCCATCCCGCCAGGGGCTTATCCCCCTGTGCCTGTCATCCCCCCACGCCGCTGCTTCGCCGGATTGACCGACGGGCCTCGGCGCAGCCTTTGTCTTCGAGCCGGCAAAAGCTGCCGGCAAAGCAAAGAGCAACCTGTCGGGTTGCGGAGGAGGTGCTGAACTGCTCCTGAGAAGAGCAGAGCACGGGCAGGTTGTGGTAGAAATAGGTTGGGAGGAGAGAAGTGATTACCGCTTTCCACAGGTGGGGATCTGTTGTAGCCCTTCGTGAAACCGACTGGGGAGGCTGTTCTCGTGTTCTGAATGGGTGACTAGAAATAAACATCAGTAACGTTGTGCACATCGTCGCTCAGAAGTGCTTCCTGAATTCCTTTCCTGTTGTCTAAGCACAGGAAGGGGCTTATACTTGCAAGTGTGGTCTGGCCAGGTGCCTGTCCCTTAAATGTTCCCTAAAACATTATTTTGAGATAATCTTGATGCTACTTTAAGGAAGCTGCCTAGGTTTGTTAGCTCTTAGTGTAAAGTAGACAAATTATATGGAAAGTAGGTGTAGTCAACTTGAAAAAAAAAAATGGGACCACTCAGTTTCTATGGTGTGTTTCTGTACCTGCTAACTTTCCCCTAACCCTGTAATGTCTGCATTCTGATTAGAGGATCCTGCTGTTGAAACAGCAGAGGAAGCTAAGGAACCAGCAGAAGCAGACATCAATGAGCTCTGTAAAGACATGTTCAACAAAATGGCCATTTATTTAACAGGTGAACTGACAGGTAAGGCACTGTAATACTGACCTGCAAGTAAGTTTTTGTTTCTTTTAATTTTCTTTTAAAGAAATCTGTTGTGTAGTTTGTCTAAACTATACCTATTTAGAACATATCTAGCAAGAGTGGCAGTTCGAGTCTGGCATGTTGCAAGACTACTAACAACACTGAGATTAGTCATATTAATGAAGTCCCAGATTAGCACAAATATTTTTCAAGGAATTCAGTCTGATATCAGCAACTTAAAATTCTTTTTAGTATTGCAGAAGCTTGTACGTGGAAAATCAACCAACCAACCAACCAAAAGGAGTCTAGGTTAAGAATGACTGGAAGAGAAGCACAACTAAGAGTAGAACATGTGCAGCTGTTTTGTTTCTGAGTGAGAGCAAGGATCATACACCTATTTTCCAACATTCATGCTTCAGAATAAACTGTGCAATATTAACTGCTGTGCAAAGTAAACCGTTCAACAAGTTAATGGATTCTGTAGGCTCTAATTTTGAAAACACTCCACAGCACTACTGATTTGCATGGGCTTGAAGGGTATATGGTACAGATTACCAGTCTGGATTCGTGCTATCAGTTTTGTAAACATAAGTGTTTGATTGAAAGAGTAAGAGTAGAAATGTGAAGAATTAGTCAATTTTTCTCTCAAAAAAAATTGCGAGTGAATAAGTATTCATCAGTCCAGTTGATTTTTACAATTCACAAAACATCATCTCTCTTTTTTTAGAACATTATACTAATACCTGTATTACCATCTAAACTATTCTTTGTTACATTTGGCTATTGATTTGAAGTCTCTTGACCTCTTGAAAAATCTGCCCCCAATTCAAACCGCATCAACTTTTAATTAAAATAAACTCTATTCTTTTTTAAGCCACCAGTGAAGACTACAAACTCTTGGAAAACATGAATAAGCTGACTAGCTTGAAGTACCTGGAAATGAAAGATATTGCTATTAACATCAGTAGAAATCTGAAGGATTTAAATCAAAAATGTAAGTAAACAAAATAAGGTAAGGATATAATGAATGGTACACTTGTTTGGGAAATGAAGCATTTAAGAATCAGATAGTTCACACTCCATTAGGTGCTGAAGGAAGAAAAAGATCTCTGGAATAGACATGCTGCCATACAGTGTCAATCTTATATGTTTCTTTACAGCTATAGACTATGTAGACTAGCATAAGAGAAAACACATCTGAATTTATGTCTTGTTTTACCCCAAATTTTGGATCTGGCAGGAAATAACACTTCCTTTGATTCATGTTGTATCGTTACTTGTGTTGAATCTAGCCAATACGCTTAATTATGTCATACTTTTCCTGGAACATAGCTGTCAGTATCACCACTTGATTTTGGGGCAGAGGAAGGAAGGAGCTTTTAAATTGTTCTAGCTGAAGAATGTAATGAAAAAGTCTTGTGTTTCAAGTGTGAACATTTTCTTGGAAGTGAATTACTGAGAACTGACAGATATGATTTTTCTGCTTTTTTAAGATGCTGCTCTTCAGCCATATCTGGAACAAATCAACCTCATTGAGGAACAGGTTGCAGCTCTGGAGCAGGCAGCTTATAAATTGGATGCATATTCCAAAAAACTTGGTAACTATTGTCCTCTACTGTTACTACCTAGCAGAATAGTCCCTTGCAAGGGGATTTAAAAAGACAAACTCCTCTGTTTATCAAGTCTGAGCTGCAGAGTTGTCTGTGCTGCTTTTGAGCAGTGAACATTGCATGTGAAGTGGCAAGTGTTGGGAAAAGATTAATATATCAAGTTATATGGAGGTGGACTAGTACAGATATTATTGAACTACAGCTTATTAGTGAGGCTTGATTTCTCTTTCACAGTATGCATTGACCCAAATTTTGAAGACAGATGTTTAATCCCTCAAATAGAGGGATTCATAAAGTTCCACCAGGCACCCAAGTCCCCTTGGCTTAAATTAATATTAGTAGTCTGACTTAAGCACCTGGTTCTTAAAAATTGTATTATACAGTTATATCTGTCTAAATGAATGCTTTAGTAATAAATGACCCTGAGTGATACTGTAAATTAACTTGAATTTTAAGATGTATAGCAGCTTACAGGGTTCAAAGCTTTTACCTATCCAGTCCTAAAATATTGTTATTTTTCCTTCTGCAGAATCCAAGTACAAAAAACTGGAGAAACGATGAAATTTCAACAGTCTTTAATTTGGAGTTGGGCTATGACTCAGACTAATTTCTCTTTAAGTTGAACAACAGCAGTTCTGTATGTTGACAAGGATTTTGTTACAGCTAACATCAAGACTGGTAACTTCTTCTATCTATTGAATACAGTAGCCTGTATTCAGGCTTAAGGCTGAATAATATTTTCCTCTTCTCAAGAGGTTCTGTTGCCTCAGTTGTTCTGCACTGAAAAGTAGGTGGCTGTCCCTAACCCATATGTTGATACTGGCTATCTGTGTGTTAGTCCTGTCGCTGAGCTCTGTGTTGAGAAGATGCCCTGGCCTTTGGAGTTATACGCATGGTATTGAAAACACTTCATTTTGGTATCCACCTTTATCTGTTTGAAATAGAGAGACTAATTATTATAAATTTACAATAAAACAACCTGCTGCATTTGTCTCTCTGGAATCTCAAATTCCTGTTGGAAAGCTGATGTAAGTTGTCTTTTTATTTTTTCAAAGGGTCTGTTAATAAAGACAAACTCCTTCCAGCTACTGGAGATCATAGAAGAGAACACATTTTAAACTCTGTGTCAAGTATTTCTGCAATTATATTCTTTGGACCTCAGGTGAAATGGCAAGAAGTATTGGTTTATCATATGCTCATAACTTAGCAGATCCTTTCTCTACTTTAGTAATGAATTTTGATCCTAGTAATTTTTGAAGAGGCATGCACAGCACAAAAAGCTTCTTTACCAGATGAACAGTGTTCCAAATTGCTAATTTAGCAGAGCCCTTCTTGCTGAATAGATGCTCCTACTCTAAGGTTTGTTTTTTTTCGTACCTGTTGACCCTCACTGGTTCAAGCTGGCTTTTGAGTGAGTCACAGTCAAGGATAGTACTAATGCTGATGTAGGAAAGAAGTAGTTAAAGCTTCCACAGGCTATGTAGAAGAATATCTAGTCAGGTGCCAATGTGGTAAAGATCACAATGCTGTTGGTCAGTGTACAACCACTGTAAATAGTAAAGAGGGACACTTTTCCCTAGTGCTGTTTAAAACCAGCGAAGCAGATGATGTTCGAGAGCCTTCACCATCACTTTAAAAATCCTGTGTTTAAACCAGAAAATACTATTCTATACGGCCTTGATGTAGGATTTGAGAAAGGTTTGAGTTCAATTTGAAAAAAGGCCTTTTTGGAATGAGCATCTTTAAAGAACAAGTTTAAGTCTCTGAGAGGTATCCAACCATTTGCATGTCTATTGCTTTTATCCATAGTTACCTCCCTGATGACTTTTCTACCTGTGAAAGCAAATTAGACATTTTAGTATTGTTATCAAAGCAACATCCTCCAACTCAACAGGAAGAGGTACCAACAGATGAGTTATTTCTGTGTTGGCGAAAATTATACCACATAGAACATGTTTTAAGATCTGACAGATGACTATCTTCGCAGGATTTGTGGTGTGTTCTGCTGGACAAGTGGATGTAGCCAGCCAGATCTAAAATCTTTGTGCCTAGAGACTCGCATTTGAATGGCAGTCTGAACAGTGGCCTGCTTGGTGATCTTTGATGCTGGGAGGTGGTAGCACAAGGTGGTAGACAATCTAGAAGTCCTGTTTCTCCAGTGTTTCATGCATCTGTAGATTATACAAGAGCTAGACGTGATTCAGCCAGACTCACCAGTGGTTTTGATAGTACCATCCTTTCTCTTTGCCTTTGTGGAGGAGTATCACAGATGTTTGGCTGCTGATGTAAAAGCTTATGGGTGCTGCTCAGAGCTCCTCTGTTCCCTTGAATAATGAAGATTTTTAATTACAGCGTATAGTACTTGCATGTGGTTGGGAGCTTAGTCCCTGATTCCCTGTAAGTCCCCTCCCTGGCCCGTACCCATCTCTAAGAACAGAAAAGCACTGCTTCACGTCAGGCTGGAAATGGTTCTGGATAGATGGACATCATCTAGAGCTGACCAGCCACTGAAATGCTTACCAGGGCAACTGTTCTAGGGTTGAGACAAGACCTCTGATCTTCCATCCTAGTGATCTCTCTGATTCCCAGCTCTTTCTGGGACGATGGCGCCATAGGCACAGAGCAGATGCTGGCACACAAAGGGATTGTTCTCTGCTGCAGGGATGCAGCTGGCCCTGCACTATGGCTAGGTGCAGAGGCCCAGATGAAGGGGTGACTGAGTTGTTTCCCAAGGAATTACAATGGAGAGCTAGCTGGCTGCTGACTAGAGAATTGTGATCATCTCTATGTGGTAAGAATACTATCAAGCACTAAGCCACCTAAGTAACTGGTCCTATTGCATGGCAGCAAGCCAAATAGGTTCTGATCATGGCAGTTAACCTGCAAATCAAGTATTGAATGTAGAACAGAACATGGCCCAGACACACTCCATGCTCTAATGACAGCACGGTGCCAAAGTAGTTGCAAGTGCATTCCGGTTTTGGATGTGGACCATATGCTCAGACCATCAATGGGAGACAGGCTCCACAGATCTAAGCCGGGAATGGAACTGGATGTATGGCAGCCTTGCTCTGTCTTAAGATGAATCCCAGTCACCTTCCCTTAACACATACTGTCCACATTGCAGTTGGGATGCCAAAACTCATAGTTGCATAGCAAGAAGCATTCACTGTCGCTGGGATCATAACAGCAGCCTTGCTGTGTAAATTTCTGAAGTGGCCAAGAAGAACAGCACAGCTCTCCTCTCTGTTTTGTGTTTATATCCTCTAGCACTTCCAACTGCCTTGGACCAAGTAGGGCACCTTTTCATCTTGAGACCATGGGGAGACACATAATAATGAAGATGTTTCAAGGCTGCAGGTCTTGATAGAAAAGAGGAGACGGTTATGTGCTTCACCATTCTTAAGCATGGTTTAATGTACCAAGCTCATCCTGCAGCAGCAAGACTGTCCTTCCATAATGTGTGCCTGGAGCATGCTGTGTTGCCAAAGGCAGCTATGGACATGACAGCAGCCCAGCAGGAAGTTGTCCTAACATGGGAGTTAGATATAAGGATTGGCAGAGTGTTTGAGCAGAAAGGGTTGCACTCAAGGATAGGCTAGTGCTAGCTAAGCAAGAACACATTTTCAGGGGCACGAGGGCTAGAGTTTGCCCTCTGCACAGCAGAGAACTGGAAATTTGTGATTAGGCAGATTGTGACTGTACAAAACACCACTCTGGAGTACAAGCATACTAGCTTTAAGTCCTAATCAGGATTTCTCAGGTCTTCAAAGACATTTCTGAAAGCAGAGAACGCTGTCAGCATCATGACTAAAATTAGAATGGTGCCCTCTAAGACAGCATCCATGCAGTGGTTGTTAACAGGTACTGCTCCTCACCCCTCAAGGCCAAGGGGATCAAGGGGACTGAGTGAGAGTGGGTAGCTAAATATGGTCACATAAAAGCAAAATCACTGTATCTCATTCCCTCTGTAGTTACCTCACCTGAGAATGCTCAGTCTTCATGGAGCTTCCTGGCCTCTTAAAGGCCATCCCACCTCTTAAAGGTCTTTTCCAACCAAAACGATTCTATGATTCCTAGTCAGAGCCCTGGTGTCTGGCTTGTATGTTTATAGCAAGGCAAAGAGCAGAGTCAAGAACAAGTTTAAATGCATTCCAGTGACACTCCTATTTGCATCTGCTTTTGTGGAACTGCAGGCTTAGCCACGTCTTGTTTTAATCGCAGGTTCATTTGCTAGTTGCTTTGATGAAGAGATACACTCAGCAAACCAGCACGCTGTTGGAAAGGTCTAGGGATCTGTGTGATAAGGGCATAGAAAATTTCAAAGAAAAATAATATGGCATTTCTCTGCTCATTGTTTTTCCTTGACAGGATTGCAGGAGGGCCACGAGAGGGCGATGTGTCAGCAGAGAAAACTTCACAAGATAAAGCATTAAAGACAAAGTGAGGACCAAATCTTGTTTGTGTTGAAAAAGTTGCTTTTCTACATACAGAAAATACAATGCTATTTTAAAACTACAAAGACTAAAACCTCCAGGAACTCTGAAGATGGAAATCCATCTATCCATGCATTGCCAGCAAGTGCTTAGAGTTCTCAGGTAAGACAGCTAAGAAATAGCAAATTCCTCTCATAAATTCTTGAGTATCCCATCTCCAGGAAGCAGAAATGGGAAGGGGAGCTTGTTTCACAAGTGACTCTTTTTTGGGAGGACATTTTTAGAGCCTGACTACCCGGCTGGCTGGAGGATTGTGTGACAGTGGCATCCCCATTAGGCCAAGAGCTGACAGATGTGTTCCCAGGTCTGTCTGTGAGTGTTCCCCTTTCTGCCTGAGGGCTCTCTGTGTGACTGATAGAATCCAAAGCACGGCAAGGATGGCTAGTCTTTGGAGAGTAGCACCACAGAAGAGACATAACTAGATGTGTGTGAATAGCATTGTGTTGGGGAAATGCATAGTCCAAAAGCAGAGGCACAACTTGGTTGCTGCTCAAACACTTCACCTGGAGAGTCCGTGAGAAGTTCCAGAGGAGGTACAGGGGGGAGACTAAATTTCTATCTCTTCCCTTCTGCAGCATTTTGTGGTGGAAAAGATAATAAGAAAGTAGCAGGTGTTTGAAGGGAAGAACATGGAAGAGAACAGAGGAAAGGGAGGTCTGTCAGATGAGAGTCAAGGGGCAAAGTATCTCATCAAAGCTGTCTATGCAACTGCTTCGGAGCTGAACTTCAAGACTTGGACTGCAACTGCAAACCAGGGAGTGAAAATCAGCCTAGCAAATACAGCTCTTTAAGCAGAAACAGAAGAGTTCAGTTCCAGAGGAGGATTTTTTTCCCTGCCATCCCAAGACAGTTCTGCCCAGCTGCTCTAACAGGTTATTCTGAAGTCATCCAATTTTCAGAGCAGTACTTTGTGGAGATGTCCATAGTCTTCAGAACGGGCTCTTAAATCATTAGTGGAAACTGCAGCATGTCTAACAGCTGAAAAATAATGCTTCTAGAATGGAGTATACTTTTTAATCTGGAACTTTGTGTTCAATATTAAACGATGTCCAATGGGATGATAATCACAAGTGTATGTAATAGCCTGAAGATAAATACTTCGTTGTATTTGCAGCATCTCATCAGAGGACAAGCACATAAGTAATAGGCAGAAGACAAACATGCTATGAAAGTATGACAGGGTTTGTAAATGCAAGGTTTGTTAATGATTGATGTTTGTCCTGGCTTTCTGATATTACAGTTGAACAAGGTTAACCTTAAAAAGGTCATAAAGACTTAAAAATTAAAGCAGTTCATCCAAGTTTGTTGGCAGCGAGTGATTTTTTTTCTAACCACTATGTTTAATGCA